CTTGTTTTTGACTTCGGCGGATAAGCCATACGCGGGGCCCTTGTTGAATCCGGACATGTTGGTTAGTGAGTTTCTCCACGAGGTTTCTGGTTCTTGGTGCGTAAAGGTCAGACTGGTGCCAAACTTTCTTGTCTGGCGCTTGGTGAATGAACGCAGGGGTTTGGAGGAGGATGGTCTCTCTCTCTCTTTCCAGCAGCCAATCAGAGCGCTCCCACGGTCTCTACAAAGACGTGCTGGTGCGTCAAGATGAAGACGTACAGCAGAGAGGAGGCGAGGAGGAGGTGTCTTGCCCATGGACATAACATCAGCATAAATCAGTGTGTGTTGGTGGAGAAGGTCTCATGGCGGGGTCGGACTCACAACCTTCAGGCTCAAATGCCAATGCACTACCAACTGAGTCACTTATTATGCTAGAGATTTTACACTTGCTTCTTAGAGACATTTTATACCTGGACCTCTTTCTTCATCTTTTCGTTTCGGATGTTTAATTATTTCTCTTAAATTTGGTTCCCATAAATGCATAGTTTTTTTCCGTTTGTAAATGTAGTTTATTTCTATGTCAATTTGTTTTAGAGCCCTCTCAAGTGCTAGTTACCATAGCAACACACTGTTTACCTGCGGCAGCTAGCTTATAGTTTAGCTACTTTTCATTCATATTCACCAGTTTTTTAGCTTGTGCTAAAAGTAAAAGCCGAATTACTTTACTACTAATAATAAATACTAGTGAAAAGCTAAAACTGTAGAGTGCCATTAATTAGAAGGGGAGACGTCAAAATGACTAAATTCTGGGATCCGGGAGGGGGCGGGGCTACAGCGGCACCTCATGAATATTCATAAGGTCAACTGCTACTGTTTAAAATTCAAAGTTACGTAAGAGGAAATTGGGAACAAATAAAGACAAAGGAGGATTTTGCCAAGTTACATCCATGGACCGCCGCCAGCATGTGAAAGCATCTGAAGCTAAGCAGTTAGTAGTTAGTGGTTAGTACTGTGATGGGAGACCTCTGGAAACACCAGGTGCCACAGTGGGGCGGCTGCGGCTGTAAAGTGCCAAACTGTGGTTGTGTCTTTAGGCAAGATACTTCACCCAAACTAGAATGTGTGTGTGTGTGTGTGTTGGCACAGGTTGTTTTATAATCACACTGATGGTTTCACTTCACAAAACAAACATATTTTCCCCCAAAATTACTGAATTTAGGGCCACGAAGACTTTTCAAAAATATCTAAGATTGTAAACGTATATTGGCACTTATTATCAGAAGGAACAACATCTTTGCTCATGTGTTTTTTCCTGATGACACTAAAGGTTTATCTCTTTCTCATGAACAAGTGAAAAAAATCAGGTACATGTCTTCAAATTTGTGTTTTTGTGTCACAGCTCCTCGCTCTGAGATGAAAGAGACATTTTTAAGAAAGCGGAAAGTTTTTAATCATCCAAATAAAAACATTTCAAATGAAGTCTGATTTGTTCACAACCTTTTACATGAAGAAAAATATTTATGTTGGAATCAATGCAATAAGGAGCACAGGGACTGGCTTAATGCTGGGACTCTGAGAGCACAGGGACTGGCCTCCTGCTGGGACTCTGAGAGCACAGGGACTGGCCTCCTGCTGGGACTCTGAGGAGCACAGGGACTGGCCTCCTGCTGGGACTCTGAGAGCACAGGGACTGGCCTCCTGCTGGGACTCTGAGAGCACAGGGACTGGCCTCCTGCTGGGACTCTGAGAGCACAGGGACTGGCCTCCTGCTGGGACTCTGAGAGCACAGGGACTGGCCTCCTGCTGGGACTCTGAGGAGCACAGGGACTGGCCTCCTGCTGGGACTCTGAGGAGCACAGGGACTGGCCTCCTGCTGGTCCCAGAGTCAGGACTAAACATGGGGAGGTATCGTTTCAGATTAATGCAGCAAAAATCTGGAGCAATCTTCCTGAAAATATGAGACAAGGCTTGTTCAAAGGCAATGTTCAAATACTGCAGTATTACATATCTGATATTTACTGTTATCAGTACTACTGTATTATTTCATATCTGATAATTCTCCCATTCAAGTCACTTTACCTGTTGATATTATTTCTGATGTTTATTCTGCTCATATTCATATTCTCATATTCTCCGCTGCTAATGTATAATATAGACATCTGTAAATACTCCGAACCAAGTGCAATTATAGCCCAGAATGTGCGGCACGGTGGCTGAGTGGATAGCACTCTCGCCTCTCAGCAAGAAGGTCCTGGGTTCGAATCCCGGTCGGACCAGGGCCTTTCTGAGTGGAGTTTGCATGTTCTCCCCGTGTCTGCGTAGGTTTCCTCCGGGTACTCCGGTTTCCCCTACCACTAAAAATATGCCCAATAGTTCAGGCATGCGCCTCCTGTACCGGCGACCCCGCTCCCATCTCTGTGTGGAGTGAGAGACAAATGCCCAAAAATTAACAATTGTAAACCGCTTTGAGACTCAGATCTGCAGTGAAAAGGCGGTATATAAATAAAGATTACTTACTACTTACTTACAGAGTTTATCTTCTTTTATTTTATTCTTACATTTATTGTCTATTATCTTAAATAATAGACTTTGATGTGTGCCTCTGAGTGCTCTTATTTCCTTTCTCTGCTGTAATGTGCAACGATGACACTGAAATTTCTCCACTGTGAGACTAATAAAGGTTTATCTTATCTTATCTTAAATCTAGTACAATTCTGTTTCGTTTGATCTTCACTCTTTTTAATGTACTGTGATTATTTTAGTTCTTCGTTTGATTATTTAGTGTGCTATACAAATAAACTTTCCTTGCCTTTTTCATGAAAAAAAAACAAACAAAAACAACCATACTACCCCTTTAACTTCCTAACAAACCAACCCGGAAGTAAGCAGCCCATACCTCTCTCTTCTCGCTGCTGATCTTTGGACATCGATCCTAAACTCCACCTTTCTGCTTTTGGACGATACATATCTAAAAGTCCTTATATGGAAGGAAACGTCCCAGATTCCCGTAGGAGGGAGGGGGGTTGGGGTTGTTGTGGTCCCTCCCTGCATTCCATCCGGGGTAGTTTCTCCTGACTCACCGCAGACTGAAAAGTGAAGTCAACTTTTTGCTACTGCGCTGACGTCATGCAGAGATTACGGCCAAAAACAGTAGGAACAGATTACAGATTATGGCCTTTGACTTTTCAGTGTCACTGCGGGAAGATTACAGAAGTTTGGAGGCAACTGCGAAACGGATTTGAGGAAAAACAAAAATCTGTGAGAAAAAGTGGAATTTTTGGAACATAGGTTAAAAAAATAGCTCAAAATTGGCAAACACGTGTCTTGATTTGAGCACATTCTGACTGAGCCTTAAAACAAGATTTGACAAAAAGACAAAGAAAACTAAGTAATGATTAATATTATTATCATGCTTTTTAAAATGTTATAATAATAATAATAATGCATCGGTTTTATATAGCGCTTTTTTGGACACTCGAAGACGCTTCACATGTGTCATTATTCATTCACTCCATACACGGTGGTGATAAGCTACTACTGTAGCCACAGCTGCCCTGGGGCACACTGACAGAAGCGAGGCAACCAGTATGTGCCATCGGCCCCTCCGACCACCACCAACCATTCACTCACAGACACCAGACTCATTCTAGGCAATGGGGGTGAAGTGTCTTGCCTAAGGACACAACGGCAGTGTGTGTGCAATGTTATTGTCATTTTTATAAAACACTATATTATTTATGTATATAACTATTTATTATTTGGGTGTGTATATATATATTTTCTCTATACATACTTTATTTTTTATTTTATTATTATTATTATTTTTGTATTTAATATTTTTTTGTATTTTTTTATTTTTTTCTGTAAATGTATTTTGTAGTGAACGTTATATCTCTCTCCTCTTGGGCATGTTGTGGGAGGGACTGGGGGTAAAATGTATCCTTAAAATGCAATAAAAAAATATAATAGTAATAAAAGACAAAGAAAAATGATCTTATTTTAAAAAGATACAAAAAATGTCTCTTTTGGAATTAAAAAATAAACAACAGTTCTTGAAATCAGACTGAATGGAGTTGTCCCACTGGAGAATCTTGTTTTAACACAGTCAGAATGTGTCCGATTAAGAGAAAAAACCACGTTTATAACTTCATATTTTGACTTGATTTTTGTTTTGTGTAGTTTTTTTGTCACAATAAAAGAAAGAAACACAAAGAAACAGAAAAACTATAATTAAAAAAAAACGTAACAGTATTTGGTATTTGCCTTTTAGAAAAACAATATTCACAAAAAACCCTGGATGTGTGATGGATGTCTGACATGTCTGAGCTGCTCCCCCTCCTCTGGCCTCACCCGGACCATGACGAGCCCCGGTGAGGCTCGTAAAACACTGTCAGACTGTAGAAGGAGGACAGGAGCAGGTGTCCGGGTGAGATCAGGCCTGAGTCACCGTCTGCACCGGAGCCTGACGTCAGCGATCACGCAACAGACTCCCATGATCAAGTACGGAGCACGTCACACCTCTGAAGCTAAGCAGGGCGGGGCCTGGTTAGTGCTGTGATGGGAGACCTCTGTAAACTGTGGTTGTGTCCTTGGGCAAGACACTTCCCCCGCATTAGAATCAGAATCAGAATCATTTTTATTGCCACGTAAGTAACAGGAGGTCACAGACTTGGAAATTGCTTTGGCTCAGTGCAACAGTCAAAAAGAGATAATAAAAATAAGAATAAAAAAACACTTCTAAAGAATAAATTTAAATTTAAAATAGAGTTACAGTTACTATTTACAATATACAAGTGCACATGGTGCACACAATGTAAGGTGACAGCAGTACAGTGAAGTAAAGTGACGTATGATGGGCAGTAAAGTGACTTTATAAAGGGCGGGGGGACAGGTTAAGAAGTGTTCAAGAGTCCAACAGCAGAGGGGAAGAAACTGTTCTTGTGGCGGGAGGTTCTAGTCCTGATGGACCGCAGCCTCCTGCCTGAGGGGAGTGGTTGGAATAGTCCATGTGCAGGTGAGAGGGGTCGGCTGTGATACGACCAGCCCGGCCTCGAGCTCGGGCGACGTACAGGTCCTGCAGCGATGGAAGGCTGCGGCCGATCACTTCCTCTGCAGAGCGCACAATGCACTGTAGTCTCTGTTTGTCCCTGACTGTGGCTCCAGCGAACCACACGGTGATGGAGGAGGTGATGGAGGAGGTGATGGAGGAGGTGAGGATGGACTCGATGATGGCCGTGTAGAACTGCACCAACATCTGTGCAGGCAGCTTGGCTTTCCTGAGCTGCCGCAGGAAGTACATCCTCTGCTGGGCCTTCTTGATGAGGGAGCTGATGGTCGGCTCCCACTTGAGGTCCTGGGTGATGGTGGTGCCCAGGAAACGGAAGGACTCTACAGAGGTGATGGAGGAGTCCATCACGGAGGGTGGGGGCGGGGGGACAGTGCTCTTCCTGAAGTCCACAATCATCTCCACTGTCTTCTGGGCGTTCAGCTCCAGGTTGTTACCACTGCACCAGGACACCAGCCGGTCCACCTCCCTCCTGTAGGCGGACTCATCGTTGTTGGAGATGAGTCCAATGAGGGTGGTGTCGTCCGCGAACTTGATCAGCTTCACGGAGTCGTGGCTGGAGCAGAAAGAGTCTGCTGTGTGTGTGAATGGTTGGTGGTGGTTGCCTCGCTTCTGTCAGTGTGCCCCAGGGCAGCTGTGGCTTCAGTAGTGGATTATAGAGTCCTGAAAAGCGCTGTATAAAACTGAAGAGGACAGAATACGTCAAATAGACTTAAAAATACTTAATGCTGCACCAGACTCACAGACTTTATAATAGTACATAAGATACATCTCTCTCTCTCACTCTCTCTTTGTCTCTGTCTCTCTCTCTCACTCACTCTCTCTGTCTCTCTCTCACTCACTCTCTCTGTCTCTCTCTCACTCTCTCTTTGTCTCTCTCTCTCTCTCTCTCTCTCTCTCTCTCTGTCTCTCTGTCTCTCTCTCTGTCTCTCTGTCTCTGTTATACTTCATTTTAAATCTCTGGGAAACATCCTAACTCAAAGTATTGAGTAAAGATCAAACGCCAAAGATACATTTGTTATAGTTAATTATCAGTCTTCACTTCCATCTCTTCTTCATATTTGGCCCAATTGTGGTTGAATCCAAACCTTCCAGAAAATAACATCCAAACTTGTGTCAAATGAAATGTTTTTGTCAAGATGGAAAAATATGTAAAAATGTATAAAGATAATAAAAGAAACCCACTTTTATACTTTTGGCCCCAACACGCTCTTGCTTTCTTTGATTTAGCCCCCGACAAGAATGAACGGCCTGTTTTCCGAGAGATCGTTTTGATGCTAATGTCACATTTCGTTGGCTAATACACTTTTATTTATGATGCTACAGTGAGAGAATTTATACTTCATTCCTGCTTCTTCATTTTGCTCAAGAGATTTTATCATATCTATCTATCTAAGTAAAAACTACAGTAAAGTTACACATACTGTACATACATAAAAAAGGAAAAGATCCAGTACAATTTCTGCTTTTATTTCAAATCATGACAAATCGGCAAAATGTATCTTAATTTGAGTATATTCTTCCTTAAAACAAGATTTGTCTTGTTTTAACACAGTCAGAATGATTCAAGCGATTATTACCTCATTTTTGATAATTTTTTGCAGTGTGAGAGTACGTGAGGCCCTCTAAACAAAGCACATGTAGATGATGTCGCCGTGGTTCCCTGCGTTCAGGCTTCTCTCCACGACGGTGACTCTCCCTCTCTTGTAAACCTCCACAGCGTCGCTGTTTCGCAGCAGCACCAGGCCTCGGACTCGGTCCAGCTTCGGCTTTGTCTGGAACCACAGATACACGTCACTTCCAGAGGTGTTTTCATTCAAATTGACTCCCACCATGTTGTAGTTCAGCTGCTTCAGTTTCTCAGCTTGTTCTTGGTTGATGGAGACGTCCAGGGCGACCAGACTGAGCTCCTTGTTGATGGTCTTACGGTACCAGATGAAGACCTCGGCCCCGCCCCTGGTTCCCATGTTGGTGTTGACGTCCACTCGGGTGTAGCCTTTGGAGAACAGTGACAGGTCCTGGCCGTAGGTGGCGGTGGCGGTGACGTCGCAGATGTAAATGGGACGCTCTCTCTTCAGCCAAGCGTACACAAACTTCCCTCTGGTTCCCAGGTTCAGGTCGCTCGTGGTCAGCTGGGCCACCTCGCTGTTGGGGTCCACGGTCACCACGATGTCAGTGATGGGGACGTCATAGTCTCCTGTGGTCTTTGAGAACCACATGTACAGAGGCTTTCCAGAGGTACCAGTGTTGAGATTTTTATCTATCTTATGGTAACCCGTCAGCTTCACTGCCATCTCCTCATTGAAGGAGACCTGGACCCTGGTGATGGGGGCCGTGTCTCCTTTCTTGTACCAGAGGTAGATGCTGTTTGCACCCGCAATGCCTTCGTTCAGGTTTTTAGTGATTTGCTGGAAGCCTTTGCTTTCGAGCAATTTCTTTTCATCAAAGTTGATGGAGACGTGCAGGCCAGTGATGAAGGCCATGCTCTCTGCTAATTCTGTATTCAATCAAAAAACACAAACAAAACGTGTGTTAAAGTAGCAAAATGTAAGATTTTCATGGCAAGTTGTCACTAAATGGCCCAAATCTGTCCAAATGCATTAATAAAACCTGCTCTTTTCCAATACTTCTTTAACTGATAACAGCCCCTAAATCTTGTTATTGTTTTCATTTCGATGTCCCGCCCTCCACCGTTTCACCAATCAGAAAGTCTGTGAACTCACTGCGTGGAGCTAATCTCACTGGTAAAGTACCATGTGGCACAGAACTAAAAAAGGTCTCGTTATGATTCTCAAATCATTAACGACAAAACAAGGAATAAAACCAGGATTTCTATCTTTGTGAAAAAGGTGTTGGTTATAGATTTGTTGTTGACAAAACTCTTGTCTATTCAGCTGTTATGGTCCCAGCTGGATTCATCTGCATATCTGGCAACCTGAGTCAGGGAGAGTGGGAGAGGCTGCAGTACCCGCCTCCTGCTGGGACTCTGAGGAGCACAGGGACTGGCCTCTACTTTGACCATTTACAAAACTAGGTTGAAAACATTTCGGTTTAACTGATTCTATTTTGTGATATGCATTTATTTTATCCAGAGATGGAATATTACAGACTAATTTCAATTTCTTTATATCTTTTTTTAAATCCTCTGAAAATTCAACAACTACAGAACAATAATAAATCATTGAACTGACTCTCTCTGGTCTCTCTCTGGTCTCTCTGGTCTCTCTCTGGTCTCTCTCTGGTCTCTCTCTCTGGTCTCTCTCTCTGGTCTCTCTCTGGTCTCTCTCTGGTCTCTCTCTCTGGTCTCTCTCTGGTCTCTCTCTGGTCTCTCTCTGGTCTCTCTTTGGTCTCTCTCTCTGGTCTCTCTCTGGTCTATCTTTCAGGTTTTTCTCTTTCTGGCTTCTCTCTCTCTCTGATCTCTCTTGCTGGTCTCGTCTCTTTCTGGTCTCTTTCTGGTCTTTCTCTGGTCTCTCTCTCTGGTCTATCTCTCTCTGGTCTATCTCTCTAGTCTCTCTCTCTCTAGCCTCTATATGGTCTCTCTCTGGTCTCTCTCTGGACTCTCTCTCGTCTCTGGTCTCTCTCTGGACTCTCTCTGGTCTCTCTCTGGTCTCTCTGGTCTATCTCTCTCTGGTCTCTAGTCTCTCTCTGGTCTCTCTCTAGTCTCTCTGGTCTATCTCTCTCTGGTCTCTCTCTGGTCTCTCTGGTCTATCTCTCTCTGGTCTCTCTCTAGTCTCTCTCTGGTCTCTCTCTAGTCTCTCTGGTCTATCTCTCTCTGGTCTCTCTCTAGTCTCTCTGGTCTATCTCTCTCTGGTCTCTCTCTGGTCTCTCTGGTCTATCTCTCTCTGGTCTCTCTCTGGTCTCTCTGGTCTATCTCTCTCTGGTCTCTCTCTAGTCTCTCTGGTCTCTCTGGTCTCTCTCTGGTCTCTCTCTGGTCTCTCTCTAGTCTCTCTGGTCTATCTCTCTCTGGTCTCTCTCTGGTCTCTCTCTGGTCTCTCTGGTCTCTCTGGTCTCTCTGGTCTCTCTCTAGTCTCTCTCTGGTCTCTCTCTGGTCTCTCTGGTCTATCTCTCTCTGGTCTCTCTCTGGTCTCTCTGGTCTCTCTGGTCTCTCTCTAGTCTCTCTCTGGTCTCTCTCTGGTCTCTCTGGTCTCTCTCTGGTCTCTCTCTGGTCTCTCTCTGGTGTCTCTGGTCTCTCTGGTCTCTCTCTAGTCTCTCTCTGGTCTCTCTCTGGTCTCTCTGGTCTCTCTCTGGTCTCTCTCTGGTCTCTCTCTGGTGTCTCTCTCTGGCAAATGTATTGCTGTTACTTTCTCTGGAGAATAGAAAAACAGGTGTATTGCTCATATGCAGTGAATCCATTTATATCTTTAATTTACAATGGATGTTTTCTGGACAAACATCGGAGCAATAAAGTAAAATACTCTACTATAGTACTTACTCTCACCATCAGAAAAATACTCTCTTGTCCTCAGAGAGACACTGCCCTCTAGTGGCCTGTCCTTGTAACACCGTCAAAAGAAGTATGCGAGTATATACGTGTTCAATTTGTTGCTTCAGCGCTTTAGGCTTCGCTATTGCATGTTTCTGGTGCTTCCGAGATTCATAGAACCTAAGTTACATTAGGTAACTGGGGGTTTCAACTATTGGAAATTGTGTTGTAATTCACTATGATTAAAACTTTTAAAAGTGAAGACCTCAGGAGCTCCATATCAAAGAAGAAGCTGCTGTGGTTGTTGCTGTTTTTACTCTCTACATTCATTTGTGTTTCTTTCCGGTTCCAGGACAAGAAGCTGATGTTGTTTTTGCAGTCCAGGAATGTACAATGAAACAAAAGTTAATATTAAATAATATTTCATTTATAAAGTGCTGTTCATCCGTTTTTATTGTACAGTCTGACACCAGCAGATTCTCTCACACAACAAAAGTGTATCAGTCTGTCGCTGAAGCTACTCTCCAGAGCAGACAGTGTCCTGCAGGGGGCGACAGTCATGGTCCAGCATAGGTGTTAGTACGTCCCGGACCCTGCTGTCCCCCACCTGCTGCACTGAGAGACTGATGCCACAACAGTCATAGAAGGTCTTCAGGAGTGGCCCCAGGATTCCAAAAGACCTGAGCCTTCTCAGCAGTAGAGCCTCCTCACAGCTGTCCGTGTTGGGTCTGAAGTCTGCAGTGTGCGAGGACAGACCCCTGGGGAGTCCCATGGAGGGGAGGTGTCCCAGGGCCAGCCGAAACCCAGGTTTTTAGGGTTGTATATCGTTTTAGAAGGGTAAATCGGTGGGAAGGAAGCTTGTCTGCCATTTTATCCAATCATGAAACCGATACAGGTTCGAGGTTGGATAAAAATGACTTATCAAAATGTTTACCAAGCTTTTCCAGTGCACGAATGAATTCAAAGAAATGGGCGAGTTGAAGAATCATATTTTATTTTCCAAACAATTGAGAGATGTTAAACACTGAACAAATAAAGTCGCCCGAGGTCCAACGCTCCGGATTCTTCCTGTCCTTTTATTGCCAGCTCTTTGTGTGTGTTTGTGTGTGTGTGTCCAAGTTTGTGTGTGCGTCTGTCCATACCGTCCCACCATCTTGGCTTTCGGAATCTTGCACACACACACAAAATAAAATACAATTCAGAATTCCCAGCTTTGGAAAGAGTAAGGAGGACGTACGGGCAGGCAGGCGTGTCCCAAAGCGAGAAAACAAAAATTTAAAAATCAAATGAACTAGCTTACCGCTTCACCAAGGCACATTGGTAAGGATGTAAGGAACAGCTAAGGTGAACTGGGCTGATTTTTTTTACCTGGGAGAAATCAATATAGCAATGCCAAGAAATGCTAACGCCAACCGCTTCCTAAACTTGATATATTTGGGAAGAATTTCACACAAAAACCTCTTGACATGTGATAAACTGTTGCGTCCTTTAAACCCTGTACATTCGATTCAAATCAACATATTTTTGGAAAGACTATTCAAAAGGCAACTAAGATCTAGGGCAAACGAAACAGTAGCGTCAAAAATATTAAGCAAAAATGTATTTTTTGTGATATTATTTTTTTAATGATATTTTAAAAGTTGCATGAAGGACTTGTAGACAGGCACCGGTTGAGATTTCCCCACGCTTACACATTTGTAATTGCATGTTTTCGGCATATTTCAAAGTTACCGGACTGTTAAATGTGGAGTAATTTATCATTTCACAAACTTAACTCAGTTTATGCTCCATTTCTCCAACAAAAAAAATCAATACAAACAGATGCAAGATGAGTGTAAAGAGAATCGAGAAGCTAACGTTATGCTAACAGCTGCTTATTTTGTATTGTTGGCTAATGCTAAGATACATTAGCATCTCTTAAAACAAAAATAAGGATAAAAATGTGTTTGAGTTGTATCTATATTTGAAAAAGACAGAATTAAGTATAATATGTCCCTTTTTGGTTTAGTTATTTGCTAGCTTAAGCCTGTGACCAAAGTTTAGCTAGCATTTACCAGCCCTGTAGCAGTAGTTTGGACCATTTTGAAGGGAAAATAATCTTTAAACTTAGCTTAGAGATATATAATGAATTGTTCTGTATTGGGGCTTCAAGAATGTTTCCATCTGGACAATAATAATAAATCTACACAATAAAATTAATTAACCTTTTCCCCACAACTCAGACTCCAAAAGTCCCTGTGTGTCGTGCAGGGCCTTGACTGTATGTTTTTGTGCAAAGGTTCGTCTGACGCAATCTCGTGTTGATATTAGGACTACACTGTTTGACAAAGGTTTCCATCGCTATCCCCAGTGTCCTCATTATTTCTTATGGTACAGTAATTGAGGCGCTGATTTTCATAAACAAACATTTCAGAGGCTTCGATGAGGATTGTACGGCTGCGAATACAGTAATGGAATAACACCAGATTATTTAGTTGCGATGATAGAATGGATTGTGGTAGTTTTGATTGAGAAGGCTCTGTTCAGTCGGCTAGCTCAGTTAGCATAATCACTTCATGAATACACAAATAAACAAGAAAACTACCCAATGGTTTGTATTTGTAAATAACATCAATGTGGGGTTGGAGATAAAAAGAGATTGGAGCCAAAATTGATGCAATCCCAATAGTCGTTTTGATGATAATTGCTAAATTTGTAAAAGTTTGTAAGTAGATTTAAACATACAGGTATACATTCTTCACCGTGTAGAGTTAAAACTATAAACTGTATATTAGGAGTGGACTGAATGTGGAAGAAGCCGATTTGGACGTAAGCTAGCTGCAGCCAATTTCCTTATATGGCCATTTCAACAGGGTTAGGGTTTCAATAGGGTGTTGCTAGGACGGTTGCTAAGGCAAGCTGGAGTTTCCCCTCACATCTAATTGGTCAATCCTTTTTTGGCTAAAAATAATACCAGGAGCTTCAAGCGCTAAACCCAATTTTTTTGCTTTACCCAAATTGGTGTGACACAAACGTTTACTAAGCTAGCTAGGAGCCAGATGCAGCTGGAGAACTTCCCCATTAGCCTTCATTGAGCGAGGTTAGCATTGTCCATTTATATACAGTCTATGGTTCAAATACAAGTTTAAAATTAGTTGAATTTTGACTTGAATCTCTCCGTTTTAGCACAATTGTGATTAATAGCCACATTAGTTACAGTTACAGAAATATCCATTATAAAGTTTTACCACCATAGTTATAAATGGGACGATTAAGGCATATAGGGATCAATAAAACAATATAATCAGCCTCAAACAGAAATCTATAGTGTTCTTAAGGTCTTGCTCTCAATGCACCTCTCTAGATCCATCTATAAAACTTTGATACTTTGGGTCTATTTCTATGTCAAGTTGTTTCACAGATCATAAACCCACTGTGGTAAGTTATGCACATATAAATTCTAATTAGTATAAGCATGTGTGCATAAAGTTACATGAATTACTTTTCAAGCCAAGTTTGACGACAACCTGAAACAGTCAACTGGCTTCTTCGCTTCTCAATTTAGTCCAAAAATATCAGATTTTTTCACAGATGCTAGCATGTGAACTGTGGTGAAGTTATCAGCAAATCTGTGCAAGTTTAAGTCATGTTTTTGTGGTAAAAATATGTAAATGTTTATAAATGGGAGAGTAGGGACGTTGTAGAGGACACAAGATGGAAGCAGTTCTTGTTACGACCGCTAGTTTGGTTATTGTTTCATTTAGTCCCATCTCTTAAAACCACCGCCAAACCCACTTACATTTTAAAACAAATGGGAAATAAACAAGTACACTGCAAAAAGTGATGGAAAATAAATAAGAAGGCGCTTAAATTTGGCTAAATGTATCTTAATTTGAGCACATTCTGACTGCCTTGAAACAAGATTTGCCAATGAGACCATGCAAATGTGGATTTACAAGGATCCAAGAAATGTCTCCCTTGGATTAAGACTAAACGGCTTTGTCCCGTTGGTGAATCTTGTTTCACCTCAGTCAGAATGTGCTCAGATTAAGATAAAAACCTCTCGATTCAAGCATTTATTACCTCATATTGTGTCATTTTTTGCGATGTAGTAGTGACGCCGATGCTAACCGGGAGCTAGCGAACTGAACAAGAGCACATTGTGATGAGAGGCATTAACAGATGGCACATTTATTCACCTCAAAATGAGATTAAAGTATAAGTTTAGTGCAAATTTAGAGTGCTTGAAGACAATCTCCAGCGTCTCCCCAACCCTTGAACCATCAACAAAATGCAATTTACAAACATATACATTGGCGTTTGCCCGTTCACAATCCCTCATACAACCTTTGTGTTTAGACCCAGTTTGAACCGGACAAGAACTTATTCTGTGTGGATCGATTTGTGGAATGTTTTTGCCCTTGGAAACTGGAAATCGGGTGGACAGAGGCGACGCAAACGCCAACAGGAAGCAAAGGGGAGAAACATCTGAGTTTATGAACAACCCATGAATCAACTGGTCAAAATAAATAGAGGCATTAACATGATAAATACTCGTATAATTTATCTGCGTCTTGTAAAGCGCTGTGTCGGACCCGGGCCCTGCTCTAGTTTCACTTCCTCAAAATTGACAATTGCAGTAGGAGGAGGACCACGACCCCCCAGAGACTCAGATAAGTTCCCAACACTGTGGTCACAATACACAAGCCTGTATGCAGGTGATGTAGTCAGTGTTTTGGTATTCACCCTTTTTAAAACACATTTAAATTGGATATACTTTGCTTTTGTTTAGCACAGCTTTCACACGCAAGGCTACAATAGGAATAGAGCCACTATATAAGCCGTTTGGGCCGAGTGAGCGGAGCCATTGATTCTTGTCTGCATAAAAAAGTTGCTCTAACCCCATCATAGGAGGCAAGCAACAAGGCAATAATATTATATGTTGTTAGCAGGGATCCGTTTTACATATGTAGCTGGAAAAACAGGTACCCCAGCTTTATTAAGACATTGTGTTCTTGTGCTCCTGGCAAAGATAGGGACGGGGCAGTAGAGATTCATAGTTTATTGCAATGAAAAAGGAACTATTTTGTGTGAATTTCTATATCCTGGATGCACAGAAAGTCTTGGTACTGAAGACCAAGATTCAAAGTGCCAACCATGGACTGAAACTATTAAGCCTGAATTTTAGTTTTTTGTGTCTTGTTTCGTAGCACATGCTTTGGGGGTTGCCATATTTTCTACAGTTACTGGTTCAAGACATATTGAAAGCCAGAGCATTCGTTTCAATATTGTCCCGTGCCGAGTCAACAGTGGGTGTGGAGTTAAGAAAACTGGAACGCCTCAGGTCTCTGGGGGAAGTGTGTCCTCCTCGTACTGCAGAGTATTTTAGCGGCAGCATTACTGCGACGATGGCCTGATCTTTCCTGTGGCTTTTATTTTTGAAAAACAGAACAATAACAGCCCTTGGAGAATACAAACTCAACTATCACTTTTTTAATTTCATATATTTTTTGTGTTTTAATAACCAAACATTATAGAAGAGGCAGGGCGGTGCAGGGCCTAGAGCTAAAGCCGCTGTTCAAACTCACAGTGGACAGGCGTCGGTCTGAGCAGACGTGGGGCGCGGCCTCGGTCTGAGCAGACGTGGGGCGCGGCCTCGGTCTGAGCAGACGTGGGGCGCGGCCTCGGTCTGAGCAGACGTGGGGCGCGGCCTCGGTCTGAGCAGACGTGGGGCGCGGCCTCGGTCTGAGCAGACGTGGGGCGCGGCCTCGGTCTGAGCAGACGTGGGGCGCGGCCTCGGTCTGAGCAGACGTGGGGCGCGGCCTCGGTCTGAGCAGACGTGGGGCGCGGCCTCGGTCTGAGCAGACGTGGGGCGCGGCCTCGGTCTGAGCAGACGTGGGGCGCGGCCCCGGTCTGAGCAGACGTGGGGCGCGGCCCCGGTCTGAGCAGACGTGGGGCGCGGCCCCGGTCTGAGCAGACGTGGGGCGCGGCCTCGGTCTGAGCAGACGTGGGGCGCGGCCTCGGTCTGAGCAGACGTGGGGCGCGGCCTCGGTCTGAGCAGACGCGGGGCGCGGCCTCGGTCTGAGCAGACGCGGGGCGCGGCCCCGGTCTGAGCAGACGCGGGGCGCGGCCTCGGTCTGAGCAGACGCGGGGCGCGGCCTCGGTCTGAGCAGACGCGGGGCGCGGCCTCGGTCTGAGCAGACGCGGGGCGCGGCCCCGGTCTGAGCAGACGCGGGGCGCGGCCTCGGTCTGAGCAGACGCGGGGCGCGGCCTCGGTCTGAGCAGACGCGGGGCGCGGCCTCGGTCTGAGCAGACGCGGGGCGCGGCCTCGGTCTGAGCAGACGCGGGGCGCGGCCTCGGTCTGAGCAGACGCGGGGCGCGGCCTCGGTCTGAGCAGACGTGGGGCGCGGCCTCAGTCTAAGCAAACGTACGGCAGGATGTTGAGTCTGCTCTCGTCCCCGTGAGGGTCGAGCGAGATGCAGTCTGTCCAGTCGTACCAGGCGCCCTGCGTGTCTCTGCAGCCGTTGACTCCGGGCCAGTGCTGTGTGTGAATGCGGTCCATGTGCTCCTGCGTTATCTCCTGCGTCAGCCCCGGCAGCTGCAGCACCGGCGCGCTCACCTCCAGCACGTGCGTGTGCCGCGGCTCCGCTACGTCCTTATCCTCCCGTTTTAAGAACTCTGACATGAAGAAGTGAGCTCCGGGGGCCTGCACGCCAGAGGAAGTCAGCACGTTGCTCTGGAGGTGGAGGTACGACTGGATGATCTCGTTGGTCGACAGCTCCTTCCAGTTAGTCTGTTGAAACGGGTTGGGACCTTGGCCGGGGGGAGCGGGGGTACTGGCTAATGTGGGGGGCGGCGGGGCAGTGCTTTCAGTTTTTAAGGGTTCTGAAAATGAAAGTGTAGTTTCCTCAGAATGAGTCTGTTCTTTATGGACTAAAGGTTTGATCTGCCCAGTGACCGGGTCGAAAGTCAGTCGGCGTTCTTTTAACCGCACAGGTTTACTTGGATCCTCTAGTTTCTGACCGTCTAAATTAACAGCGTAGTCTCTGGAGCGGTATTTCTTTCGTTTAAGTCCTGCGTTGGAGAGGATAGAGTGTTCCGGGTCCTCGGACAGCGAGGGTCTGAGTTCTGGTGATGGAGATACGACAGGAGACTCTAAATGAGACGTGTCCTGTAGCAAACTCTCCGACGGCCAGTGCGGTGTAGAAGACCTCTGAGGAGGAGGAGGCAGTCTGTCGGTGAAGGGGGGCTGCGAGGGAGAGGGCACTGATAGTGGAGAGTCTAGTGCATAAGGGACGGAGCACTTGGCGTCCTGCTTCACGCTCCGAGGGCTGCGGGCCTGAAGATACCCCCCTCCACCGCCGTCGTCCAGCCGCGCCTTCTGTAGCACCGCGGCTTTGATCAAAGCTGAGGTGCTCGGCAGTTTGGCCATTCCCGGAGAACTGGGCCGAGGTTTGACAGGATGTACGGGAATCCTGACAATTTTATCATTGTCAGGGTGCTCCGGCCGCAGGCGCTCCGGCGAGGGCACCACCTCCTGCTCCTGTCGTTCTGGACTGGCCATGACGCCATTACTGGGCAGCGGAGACGAGGAGATCTCGTAGGACGTGAACTTGGAGATTTTTTCTGGTAAGTGCACTCCACTGTCCCGGTTCTCAGCGCGTCTCTTACGACTCGATTTCTCGGCTTTGGGAGAGTAAGTATTGTGGACATCATTCCGCAGCTTAACTTCAGGGACGACCTTCCCCGACACAGGGACGTCCACGGGAGCAGGCTCTGTCCGACACGGATGGGAGCTGCCATTGGTGGATCCAGGAGCAGCACTGACAGCAACAGCTGAACCTGGTTCTATGAGCTTCTGCCAGTTCCTCAGCAGTTTCTTCGCCCGTTTAGCAAGGTCTTCATCCTTTGTTTTCTTCCTCACATCATTGATGAGCTTGCCGAGTCGAGTTTCCTGAAAAACAAATGATATAAACAGGAGTACCATACTTGGACCACGCATTCGATCAGACAGCCCATAGTTTCATTTGGGTAAAATACAAAAGGGTTATCGTTCTGGGAAAGATACTAAAGGGATCGAATAATGCTCTGGTTAAACAGATTCTCTAAGTGGGAGACAAAGCCGTAGCCCGATGAGTGAGAAACTGCCACACACTTTGATAAAGCAGCTGATCTAACTGACGAGGAAGTACAACCATAGACTATAGTAGGAGTGGACCTAGTGCAGACGTCACCCATGGTTTTCCACAATACAAACAGCCTCCCAAAAGCTAAAGCCAAATTCAGGGACAGAGGACGCCTTATTGGTCGGTTGTTATGGGACGCATCTAAATTTACAAAGACATTATTGAAATATAAACAAGATCAACCACAGATCTGAGACAGTTCCTGTAAGAGGAGTTCACGTTTCAATCTGAGAGACTGAGCCAAAGGAGGGGGAAGCAGGACGTCACCCATGAGCACTTCACCTTTGGGCTTGATCGAGTTGTGGGTTAGCATCGTCACTCCTATAAGTCTAGATGTACGCGCTAGCTTCCTGTGACAGCATTAACAGTCTTCACTAGGTCCTTTCACCAGCAGACTCACCTCAAGTGCTTCTTTGGTGATGGGATATTTCTCCAGACACGTTATGACCTCCAGTACTACCACCATGTTGCATATCTGGAAGAAAGACAAACATTTTTATATCTTTAGTTCAGGAAAATGTTCCAAAGTGCCAAGTTGCAAGTGCCTTAAAAGTGTGACCAATGGGTTAGTTAGAGACAAAATGCAAAGACACATGGAGGCTGTGAGAGACAAGAAGTCCCTCTCTCCAAGGATAAGTGTCCGACTTCATTTCTACTTTATTTTCTAAAACTGAAGAGAAATCCTTCATTTATCCCACAGTGGGTAAATGTCAGTGTTGCATCACCAGTTACAGAACAGTTGGAATGAGGAGCGCACAGCCCAAGATAAATGAACAATAACTATACTAAATGAACAATAACTATACTAAAACAAAATCTAACTTCAACATATTTCATACTCCACAGAATGTACAATGCTTTTGCAACTACACTGTTCAATCTTGGCCAAAACGCCAGATGTGTCCAAGGTTTTTAACCAAAGTGAAGGTCCAGACCGGGGCTTGGTTCTTGAGGTAAAAGTTCAGACTCCTGTGTTTTAATGAAAGAGTTTAAATAATGTCCTCGGATGTCCTTGGTTGGTCACAGAAGCGCTAACAAAATGAGACCAAATTCAAAGATAGTTTCTTCAAATACATTCTGTGTTACTGAAGGTTCATCTTTTGACTTATTCATCATTAAGTTAACGGTTTTCTTTTCAAGGACAACAGGCTACTAAAATAATCTTCCCTCAGGCACATTTCTTAAGAATAAATAAGAATAATCACCTGGACTAGGCCTTACTAATCATGCGAGTGTAGAGACTGGTGTTTTTTGTCAAATTGATGTTATTGATGTATTAGTGCAGGTTACGTACAAGATGGTAACAGTGAAAGGATTCTGACTGATGGCTGAATGTAAAAAGGTGAGACCTGTTCTGTCAGTGTCACAAACGGACAAACGTGGCATTTCACGTAAATGCACCACTTCAGTGCAAAACACACGTTACAAAGGATAAGTTTGAGTAGTTAGAAAACAGGGACAATGCTTTGATATCAGACCCTTGTTTAATCTTTGGATCTGCACGCATTGATCCAACTTGAAGAACTCCGACTCAACTTTAGCTGCTAAAGTTAGCCATGTAGCTACACCACGCATCGTTAAAACGTAACGATTATATTTATTTCTGTTTCGTTGAGACTCAACAACAGCCTTCATTAAACAGCTGGGGCAAAGTATTTCATATGGTAAATACAGAAGAAGACTCATACGTTGACTAGCATGTGCAGCAATGCTAGGCTACCGTTAGCTTGCTAACACTAGATTAAAGTAAACGCTAGCATTGCCAGAGACCAGTCAATTATGGAGATCTCACACTTGTTAGAACGAATGCGTTCATTGGGCTGTGATTCTTTGACGATATCACGTATATTTGCTACTTTACATTATTTTTTAGATGCGATAAGTATCACATTTTATTTTACGTAAAAGCCTCTTAGAAACTGTTTACTATTCCTAAACTGCTTCTTCTGTCAGGGACTACAGGTGTAAGTTATCACTGCTGCTACAACCTGGTACAATGCATCTCTGGTTTTGCATAATGCTTGTTGTACAATGTCTCTGTTATAATAAAACACATTCTAATATCATTCTGACCCAACATCTGTGTTCACATTCACCCTGCAGCCTGTATTATCGTCTCAAGCGTGTTTTGTAATAATATCATATAAACATTGTTGGTCGCAGAGAAAAAGTGAGGTTGAATCATTGGTTAAAACAGCCAGTGTCGTGTCGCTTGGCATCTCTCCCTGGAAGAGTCTCTGGCTAAACGCTGTTGCTAAGTTAGCTCCAAGCTGTCAACTCCAGAGACTACATGTCGGTGCTTTACCGAAGACAAAACACGATTTATAGACAGTTAAAAGTGAACTTTAAAGCGCACGTGGACAAGTGAGTTTAAGATGTTAACGAAGCCTGTCTCGTCGGAACAGAGCAGATACATACAGCAGAGGCTCGTTTGTCTCACGGAGAGGTTTTTTAACGTTGTTACAGCAGTAGCATTAGCAACATTAGCTTCGTATATAACGCGGGTGGTTCTCCAGGAAACACACCGAGAGACTGGGTCCAAACATGACCCACAGAAGGCGCGGACCAGGGCGAAGGGAAGCCGCTCTTAGCCGCTAGCTCACTCACATTGCTCTGACTGTCGATGGCCTGCAGCAGCCGGTCCCTCATCTGCTGCGGGGTTGCTGACACCGTGCTCATTGCCCGTTCGGTGCGGTCCGGAGGCTGGAGGCAGGACCCAGGACGCGCTGGTCGCTCAGAAGCCGCGGGGGTCACTCGTCAGGCGCCTGGGCAGCATAGTGTGGGGTGTGCTGGCCGTGGTGGAGGAGGGTCGTCTCGCATGGAGCTGGGTCTCTGCTCTGAACTCGGTGTGCAGCGCTTCAGCTGCGGAGTATCAGCAGCATCGGGCCCAGTGCATCACGGGAAACCACGCACGGCCTCACGTCATCACGCACCTAAACACAGGCCTCGGGGACATACCATGGAATTTTTGGTTGTCGTTATTATAAGAACACATTTCTCACATAATTTGTCACTATGTTGAAATAATAAGTTGATTGATGTAAATTGAATTTAAAAAAGGGACATACCATGGATCTATAACAACAACATAACACGTGATAAATTGGTTAAACGACAATCGCATATTTACAATTGGAGCAAGTGCTTTTTGTGAATCTTCCAAAGATTTATAATATAATCATAATTATGGGGAAATACCACTTTTACTATTCCATCCCTTATGACATTTAAAGTTGAAGCCAAAGCTTATTTTGCTTCGTGTCAATACTAACAAAAACTCAGAAAATTATATTGAAAATGTATGTTATGTCTCAAAATATTTGCTTGTTTATTTTGAACACAGCTATTGTCTTCTTTGTATATTTGTCTATTGTCTTCTTTGAATATTACAATTTGATTTAATAATAATAATAATAATAATACATCTTTAAAAGTTTTATAACACAAGTAATATTATGTAGACTTGCAGACCCCTGTTGGATTGAGTAATTCTCTGTATATTCTCCAAAGTCCACTTTTTCTTTTTTTAAGAATGCATTTGACCACCAGATGGCGCTAAGAACATGGGTAATAATTCTATCTAATGTACGTTCCAGTGTGTTGGGTCAACTCTCCACTGATGTAACTTAGATTAATTTAAAGTTCAACCTATTACCAAATGCAGGAGAGTCTTAGTCAGAGGTGTCACATTCATTTCGGTCAGAAGACAAATTTAAAAACACAAAAGCAGTTTAGTGTAAAAGTATAAAAGTGGTATAATTTTTTTCTCTTCATATTCTTGTCTTCTGACAAAAGTATTGCATTTTACATGAGTTGGCATATTATTTTCTCTTATGTTTGGATTCAACCCGAACTGGGAAAATATTAAGAAGAGATGTATTGCAAAAAGGATTGTTAAATATAAAAATAATAATGAAGTAACTCTATTCTTCATTATCATCATTATTATACAAGACAATAGGCTTTAAAATGAAGCACAACATGCCATAGTAGCCCGTTAGCATCAATGCTGCAAGTTACTGTGATAACAATAGTTGAAAATCGAATAAGGGACCACAGAAAAGGTCTTTCGGGCCGGATTTGGCCCATGAGCCTGAGTTTGACACGCCTGGTCTAAGTGGACTGTGGTGATTCTCAGACATTTATCAACATTTGTGGTCGTTGGTCTCTGCTCCTTTTGGACCAATGGCTCTATGGGTGTTATATGATTGCATTTCTTTGATTCTCTGATCTGTTTTGGTGAATCGACAGCTTTATAAAGACCTCAGAGATAACTACTTCTGCTGTTATGTAAAGTGATTGTCTGGAGTTCGTCAGAAAAAAAGAGAGGTACATGATTTGAAAAAAAAAATCAAGCTCCAAGCTCCTCCCCCTTCCTTTCTGATTGGTCTACACCTACGTTTCGGTAACAATCAATCAACACATTTAATTGTTAATCAGAGAACACATTATACTTTTACATTATTAATACACATGCACGGAGGTTTTCAGAATTATCTCTTCACGTTTTCATGACAAAAATAATATTTGAATGCAAAAAAAAAAAAAAAAATACGATCGCGCTAAACCCGGAAGTAACTATTATCATGAATTGAACATTATAGGACACACCTGCAGAGGATCTGATTATGGATATAGGTTCAGTATATAAATGATTATGGATATAGGTTCAGTATATAAATGATTATGGATATAGGTTCAGTATATAAATGATTATGGATATAGGTTCAGTATATAAATGATTATGGATATAGGTTCAGTATATAAATGATTATGGATATAGGTTCAGTATATAAATGGAGGCTTGATTTGGAGGCTCCGTGAAAACAAACAACTGAGCATGAACAGCTACAAGCCTCAGCGCCGATGATTGACAGCCCTTGGCATTACTTGATTGGTTAACGTGGACGGCATCATGGATTTTGAGCTACAGCTAAGAGAAGGGAAGGCGGGACTTACCTGTAATATTAGAATTCATTTAAGGTCAATTTAATACAATTCTTAACATTTATAATTCATTTAGAGTTCCAGACTGTCACTTTAAGGCTTGACAAAAACACATTGAATTGAACTGGATCCAAACGACTCGAACAGACGTCAACGTGTCCGATATAACTCTTTTATTTTCATTTACAAATAAGAATAATGCAAAGATACAAAGACAGAAGCCTTCACGAGAAAAAATACATTAGGTACGTTTCAAACAGAAGCGAATGTCGTCTTTGAACAAGCGAACATTTACAGCCGACTCAGGGAAACGTTTGGTCCGATTCAGCGGAGAAACGTAGAAAATGCGCCTTAAAGGGTTAGCTCAAGAAACGACAAAAAAAAACAAGATCGGCTTGAAGTTTCACAAAGATTTGCATATTCTTTTGAGTCAGTGTTCCGTCTCCGAGCTGGGAACGAAACGCAAATCGTGTACACGGCAAGAACATATATAAATCACCAACGAAAGAAAGAAAGTAGAATTTAGCTGCCACTGAATGAGGTTTTTTTCATCCTCACACAAAAAACCCCACAAAATTATAGGACCTTGATTGGTAGCGGTCCCATTCACTTCCTGATTCTCTTTTGGTATTAAAATAACAGACTGAGTAACATTATCCAAACAGTAACAATAATATTTATATATATATACCGTCGAGAACGGTTGAAAAGTGAGTGGATTACTTGCCAAAACGTTGAAGACAAAAGACATGTAAAAATATCACAATATCAAATTCAATATAAAGTATTGAGCAGTATCTTAAATAAAGTGGAAATATAAGCGATTTTCTTTCCTTTGGGCCAAACAGGAGCACGACGCCACTTCTCTGATGGTTTTTTCGCCTTCATCTGAACTGGGATCGCCAAAAACAAGGAAAGTAGTGGTTGCGAAAGTTTATATACCCTGTGTCTGAAGTCAAATCTAACAATAGAGTTCTCCCGTTTGGTCAATGCCACGAGGTTGAGAGACGGTTTTGGTTATAGCCATTCTACAAGCTTCTCACGGAAGTTGGGTGGAATTCTGGCCCATTCCTCCGGACAGGACTTGTGTATCAGAGTGAAGTTTAGGGCTGTGAATAGGTCGTTCAAATTTTTGTTTTGTTTTAGCCTTTTCAAAACTTGTAGAAAGATCCCTGTGATTCACTGTTTGACGCTTTTGTCTGGTTACTGTGAAAACTATGACCAAAAAAAAAAAACGTTTTGAGCGCAAGGATAATAATAGTTCAAATAATTTTAAAAAAAAAAACTACTTCTAGTCTCAACTATTTAGCAGATTTTTACTCATAGTCACCACATGTATTGGCGCTTTTGAGCACTGACATTAATCTGTTTTACATATTTGTTGCATATTTTCTCTAATTTCTCTAATTCTAAACATGTTAGAATTTTTTAACGATGGATTTTAACGGATTTTAAATGTATTTTTCTGTACTGTGTGTAAGGCGACCTATAGTGTCTAGAAAGGCACCGATGAGATAAAGTGTATTATTATTATTAATGATAAATGAGCTGAATCTACAGTCCAAAAAACACACTTTGGTACACCAGTTCTGTCTGGAGGAATGGGCCAGAATTCCACCTAACCTCTGTGAGAAGCTCGGAGAAGGCTAAACCCAAACACATAATTTCCCTCCAGCGCTGAGGAGGCAGCAGGCGGCGCCAGAACCATCAGAAAAGTGACATCAGGCACCTTTAATGAACACATCTTTGCTCCATCGGCTTGACTTCTGTCTCATATTTCATTTATAAATATTATACTGAACTGATTCAATTCATTTAGTGGTAAAAAACACTTCCACACAAGTCCGTAGTAACTTTCTAATGGATCTGCTCCAAGGCAAACGTTAAAACACCGTCGTAAAAATGTGAATTTGTTACTGTACACGGGACTTTCAGAAAGACTAGTTATGATGACGCTTTTTAACATGAACATAAAAAAAAAAAAAAAACAAACAAAACTGCTCAAAACACCCAAAAATGCATGTCGAAAACAGAATAGCAAAATACCAAATAACAACTTTGACATAAGTGCGTAAAAAAAGACACAGGTTCACATCGGACTCGGACAAAACAGAAGAAATTCAGGTTGTGAAATGTGAAAAGTATTGAAATATATGTGACAATAGACACAAGACCGGAGCATAGGGACGGATCTGACTGTGGTCTGTACTTTATGATGTCTTGATTGGGAGCGTACAGTTAGTTAGTCATTTCAAACTTAAACTTAACTTAAAGATAAAGTCTATGTTGGGCCTCGAGATGCACCGACGTGGCAAACATGGCTACAATATCACGGTTTGCTTTTAGCTAATAGCATAAGCGTATAGGGCTAGCTTAGCTCATTGGCTGCCATTGAGACTGCTGATTTCTGTCAAGTTCCCTCTATTGGACTGGGGATTATTGGAGAACAAAACTAGCTAGAAACCAACTTATTTTTGCTGATAAAAGTAGACGAATCAGTCTTTCAGAATCTGGTTTCATATTTAACATAGTCCTAGCACGCAATATTCTGTGGGTCTTGAAAGTCGGTGAACTCATCAAAAACGGCAGCAGTCAATGAGTTCAAAGTCTTAGATTTATCATTTCAAAAATATTGTGGATTTCAGCTCAAAACTGATCATTTCAAGTATAATTCTACTGCTTTTTAAGAGTTTGGAGTTGTGTGTGTTTGTTGCTGGTGATGAAAAAGATGA